TCGTTCTTCACGTTAGTGTACATTCCATTTCAAACAATGAAATCTTGAAGCACGAAACATTTCAGGGCTATGCAACTTTTTCTGGAATATTTAACAAAAGCACCGTACAAAGGTCTGAAAAATACATTGTTCAAACTTTGAATATTGTCTATTTTAGCTTGGCTAGTTGGCCTATGGGTCAAACAATTGTGCACACCATCCATAAATCCAACACAAAATTGACAAAGAGTTAGGGATTGGTTTTAGTTTTAGTGACTTTGAATGGATCTATTAGATAAAAAGTTGACCTAGCTTATTGACCTAAAATGTGACGGTGACACAATCTAAAAGAATTATTGTGACTATAACTATTAAATTTTTTTTATAAAGACTCTATTATTGCCTCATAAGTTAATAAATTAGATCAATTTTTTAAATTTTAATAACATTCCTCTTTTAAAAAATTAGAACCTAAGAGTTAACTTAGATTGCCAATCCTTCAAGCTTAAAAGCAAACATCAGAAGGAAAAAAAAAATAGTGGTGACAAAAGACCAGCCTGTGGACTTTTCTAGCTGACTGGACTGTGAAGTGTCAAGGCTGTGAGAACTTCCATTTTCTGGATTATCAAATTCTATAGAAAAATGATATGATCACTGTTCTTCAAGTCATTATTAGACTAGTTTAGCTTACCTAATCTTGTTATACATTCTTTCGGTGCTGAAGATAAATAATTCAGTAAAGTACCTGTCCACACCTTAATGAATGTTCATTTCATTCCATTGATAGATTTCGAAAAAGTTAAATCAATGAAACAAGAAACTTAGAATTAGAAAGGTCCTTAGACTTCAGAAGAAGACCAAAAACTCATCAAACATATCCAAGAGCATGGCCATGGAAGCTGGAGAGCCCTCCCTAAACTTGAGGGTATCTATAGCTTAACCACGGAAATGCATCTCCCTCCCTCTCTCTCTCTCTCTCTCTCTCTCACTCATATTGAGGATCCAAAGGAACTCATGCACGAACTAATCGCCGGCATTTCCATCAAACCTGTGTATTCATAAAAATGAAAATTTTTTCGTCATTTTTTATATCCAATCATAAAATTTTATGTAGTGGATATCTGGAAGAGAGATGCAGTGGATAACTGTGGATCCAAAATTCTGACCCCAAGGTTGTGGGTTCAGGGGCTGGTAGAGAGAGAGAGAGAAGAGAGATGCAGTGGATAACTGGAAATTTTAGTGTGAACCTTCATATATATACACAGTATATAGATAAGAGGCTCCATATATAATTTTTTGTTGGTAGTTATACTAATCATTTTCTTGTAAAGACCTTGGGGTATGTGATGGTTCCATACTGCTTGAAGATATGGCAAACATTTGATCTTATTCATCATTTTCAAAAGAAATATATACAGACACTAGTTGCCGGCACTAAACCTAAATCTACATCACTGATCACACCCATATGTTTATTCATGAAGGCCTGATTTTTTGATATCCATGCACCATCCAACCACAGAATTTTACACAGTGGAACCTTTACAAAGTTTCCCAGACAATGAACTTTCCATGAATTTCCAGGCCAACCTGCACGGCATATTCATTGTCATTTCCTAACCGATAAACGCTTAGCAACTCACCGGTTCGAAGACCCTTTGCAAATGCAAAAGCACGCCAGTCGTGCGTCAGAGAACGCCTCTCATCTGTCCTTACTGAGGCTATGAATTCATATGTGATTCCGTCTCTGTCAGTTACACGCATGACCTGATTTCCGTCTGGCAAATAATCTGCCCAGTTGGGTATTTCCAGGTTGCCATGGACATCCCTATTTGAGAGCCGTTTTTCAAAGCACAAATATGCAGGCTCCATTTTTCCAAACCCTGAAGAAAAGAAGATGGATTAATTAGTATCAATGTTGTCATTGCGGAATAGAATATAAGAGAGTGAGAGGAACAGACTTCATTTCTGTTTTGTTTGAGTATGAGAAGTGAGAAAGACTAGCTAAAGAGAATATACCAGGTACTGGTTAGTTATTTATTATAACATAATAATACTCCTTATCTTGTGAACACTTTATTTTTTTTAATCTCATGATTAAAGTGCTTTCCCTCTCTCCCTCCCCTCTCTCTCTCTCCCTCTCAAAAAAAAATTTAAATTTATAAAAAAAAAAAGTTAGAGAGAGAAACTTCACACGTGGACAGAATTTTGGGGAGCTAGAGAGGGAACTCCTGAACTGAGATTGAGTTGAGTAGCTAAGGAAAAGAAGGATTCAAATGGCTAGAGAGAGAAGAGTGAGAAAGGGAGAGAGAGAAGATGCGAAGTCTTGATGGCTGACAAATGTTGTTTTGTAGCCGGTCTTTAAACTAAAAGACAAAGGGCGTTTTATCCGACTAGAGCTTTGGATCCACATAAGCACGTAGCAACATCTACTGCTGGATTGTTTGTGGATTGGAAAATAAATATTCCTCTCAGAAATCAGAATACTCCAATGTAAGTTTTTATTCGTTTCTTTTTCTGCACTATTTTTTTTAATGGTTGTTACATACGAGTGCTTAAATCTCATTCTTCCTAAGAAAAATAGGGTTTCTGTAGCATTCAATGAAGAACCCATTCCAGAAACCATTTGGCTTTGAAGACAAGTAGTAGTACTCCTGCTGTCTCAATGAACCTGCATATTTAAATTTAGGATAAACTTTATCCACACCCCGGTAGATAGACGTAATTTTAATGATACTCCTTACTTTTTAAAATTATCACTACACTGCCTCCTAGTTTATATGTTTATTTCACTGACACCCCCTTGCCATTCATAAACAAGTTAAAAGATGTTGATCTTATCTTAGATTATTTCAATAATACATAAACTACCTTTATGTCAATCTTCATCTTGTGATTGCTCCCATTGGCAAGGCCCACCAAATATTGATCAAAATATTTTTGATTGAATGTAGAGTTGTCAACTCATTTGATAAAAATATTTTTTAGTAAAATTTTTTGATAAACATGGCATTAAACATTGATAAATGGGTTTGCCAAGTGAACTACATTTAATTACAAACATATCCAGAAATTGAAGTGGTCCTTAATCTTGCTGTCCAAGTTAAAATTGGACTGATAAAGCAAATGCCCTTTTGAAAAATATATTATTGTTTTTGCCCTTAATCTCCAGAATCAAATGAAAACCGTCCCTGGTGGTGGAGTCAGAAATTCTGTCCAGGGTTAGCAATTCACTCAGAAATCTTAAAAAAAATATTTAAACATATTTAGAAGTGTTCAAAGTGTGTCTAAAAGTTCATAATTATTTAGTTGGGTTAATTGCACCGGAGGTCCTCAAAAGATTAGGTTTGTCTCATTTTAGTCTTCAATATTTCAATTGAATCATTTTAGGCCCTAAAATATTGAATATGTTTATATATAATCTCTCAAACATACACAATTTAAATTGCTAACGATTTTTTTGTCATAAACTTCTCACATAGTACATGGACAAAAAATAATTTGGGTTAGCCTTGACCAAAATTTGGGTTGTTGTTGACCAAAATATGTAATATGAATAGAATTTAACCAAAATTTAGATATCTCATGATCAAAACTATATAATTTGTGTAGCTCTTTAACTAAAATTTGAAGAATTTTGATCAAGAATTATTTAAATTATTTTTTTACTCATATTTAGGTATCACGTGATAAGTTTATAATAAGAAACATATTCAATACTCTAAAGACCAAAATGATGCAATTGAAATATTGAGGATCAAAATAAAACAAGTCTCATACTTTAGAAACCTCTAGTGCAATTAACCCTATTTAATTATGTGGCTATTCTATTGATAGAATAAAAAATAATAGAATAGAGACACTTAAATATATTTAAAATAATTTTAAGAGCTAATCTCAATTTACATCCGAAAAGATTATCNAAATATATTTAAAATAATTTTAAGAGCTAATCTCAACTTACATCCGAAAAGATTATCTGAATCTCAATTTGCACCTTGAAAATTTAAAAATATTAATTTACGCCCTGAAAGATATAAATACTTATCAATACACACCTATGATTAATTGTCATTTATTTTGCCGTTAAAAAGTTTGGATTAATTATGAATTTCACCCCTCAAAGTTTAAATATTTCACATTTATGATTAAAAAAAAATTTCATCAATTAATGCTTATTAAATAGCTCTCAATTGTATCATATCATAACATTTTCGTGTTGTGTTCTAATTAATAAAAAAATATTTTAAGCAAAAAAAATATTTTCGTGTCGAGTCAATTGCGTTGTGTTATATATTTCACATTTACGACAATTTATAAAATACCATTTAATATTTTTTTTAAATTAAAAAATATATATTTTTTGCCTATAATACTCATTAAATAACTATTTTCTATCTACAATTGTGTTATCGTATTTAACTTTAATTTGATCGGGCAATCAAAGATTTGTATCNAACTATTTTCTATCTACAATTGTGTTATCGTATTTAACTTTAATTTGATCGGACAATCAAAGATTTGTATCTAACTATAGATAGAAAATAGTTATTTAACTAGTATTGTAGGTTAAAAAAAGGTATTTTGTAATTTTTTTTAAGTTTTTAAAATATTTTTTTTATTGACTTAAATACGACACGAAAATGTTATGATATAATAAAATGGAGAGCTATTTAACGAGTATTAATAGATGAAATTATTTTTGGATCATAAATATGCAATATTTAAACTTCGAGGGTATAATTTATAATTAGTCCAAATTTTTTGAACACAAAAATGGACGAAGTTAGTCTCGGGTGCACATTAATACGAATTTTTATCTTTCGGAGTATAAATTAATATTTTTAAATTTTAAAGGTACAAATTAAGATTTCAATGGTCTTTCAGGATATAAATTGAAATTAATCCTAATTTTAAATATTCCTAAATAATATTTCAAAAAAAAAAAAAACAGGATGAGTCCGTGCCTACCTGATCCTCATGTGGCTCCGCCACTGCCCCCACTCCATATTCCCAAAGTCTCATAATTGTCCTACCTTCACGAAAGGGCCTTGTACTTTTGAAGAAGACAAAGACTTATCAAACATATCCAAGAACATGGCCATGGAAGCTGCAGAACCCTCCCACATCTCTCTCTCCCTCATATTGAGGATCCTTTTCGAACCATATATAGTGTCGGCCGACCCTGCAGTGTAAAAATAAAACGTGGGCTTTGTACCCCCCACCTATGAAAAATGGCCCAAATTTAAAGATCAATAATATAATATAAGTTAAAAAATAAAATTTATTACAATATAGCCTAACAAAATAATTTTTAAAAAAGTAAATCAACAAAAAAAATTCAAATTTGGGCTCAAAAGTCTAGACCACTTTACAAAATCACATTTATTAAAAAACAAAAAAAGATTAAAAAAAAGTGCTGATAAAATTCATCTCTTTCTCCTATTGAAAGAAGTATAATGAGCATTTCTCTTTAATAAAAGAAAAATTCAAACAAAACACATTCTTTCCTTCTCTTAAACTTATAGTTTTTCTCATTTGAATGCAAAACACCAATTAAACCATTTATTTTCATTAAAAAAATATTTTGATAAAGTTCTTATTCGTAACAAATAAAATATAACAAAAATTTAAGTAAAAGTTGCGTAGATAAATAAGTAAAATTTAAATAATAGTAAAATAATTCAAAAGAAAGATAACAATAAATTTATTTATAATAAAATCAATCATATAATACCAGAATTTCGATAAAGAACATATAAAACAAATAAAAAGAATATGAAAATATTAATGAAGAAATTAATTTTATTGCTATAAATATTTAGATCAAAATTCATATTATTAATCAAAAAAATATATTAGAAAATTTTGAATAAAAAATCATTAGCAATTTTGAATCTCATCAAAAAGTAAAAATAATAGATTTTAAATTAAAAAATTAAATTACTATTAAGAAAATAAAAAAAATTACATTGGCCGTCGTTACTTTAGACCCCAAATACTGTTGAGCCCACCCCGTATAACGATTTTCACAATTTTCATTTCAAACAAGGTGGTCTACAATTGCAACTCGCCTACCAGGACGCACAGACAATGAAATGAAGAATTTCTGGAACACCCATTTCAAGAAGAAGCTAATTCAGATGGGTTTTGATCCAAAGAAACTCATGCAGAAACTGATCACTGGCATTCCCGTTAAACATGTTAATTCATAAAAATGAAAAGTTCTTTCTCATTTTTTGATATCGAATCACAAAATTTTATGCAGCGACAAATTGGAACTTTTTTGTGTGAACCTTCATATAATGGTTCTAAATAACGGTAACAGTGTAACGGACACGGAATGAAACGGGTGTTACGTAACAGTAACGAAAATCGAATGCGTGATTTTTTTTCAACTCATAACCTCCCATAGAACATGAATATTTACATGTTTCAACTTAAAATCGTGCAAATATGGGTGTTTAGTGATTTAGTTTATTTTATTATATCATAAACATAATAATAAAATATCATAAGTATTAATAATATTTCTTAAGTCACTATACATCAGTGACCTTTTCATTAGCAACAATTGAACAAATGAAATGCATAATTACAAATGTAACAATTTATTAAATGAAACATATTGATAGAACCAAAATGATTTTTAGAATTGTATAATACAATAAAAAAAAAAAACAAAGAAAGAAAGCAACAACATTACCTTTCAACAATCTCACCACTAAAAAGAACGACGCGAAGAATCCAAACATTGAGATTGATCTTGATTACTTTCACTATCATCATTCTATCACGTGCGCAACATATAAGTAAATGTTCCAAATTCAACTCCATCTTGTCGTGGCTATTCTTCATATGTATTCAATGTCAAGTAATTGTTAGGGGTGAAAGTCTTAAAGAATTATCTTTGAGAGGTAAAGGTGGAGGGTAGTGTTGAGGAGAGTAACAATAAGGGTAGGGTCTATAATTTTCAGTTGGACAGCCTGATGAGTGGTAGTTTTCATTACCACTACTATATGATGAATCACTAACGTTGAAATCACTCAAACTCTGCATAACACTAGACGAAAAATCTTCATATTCATACCAATTTCTTGTATTTTTGCTTGATTTTTTTCCACGCCGTGATTGTTGATCATAAGCTTCTAGATCAACTCTAACTGCACTAAGTCCATGAACCCCACGAAACGATGAATCATGACAATAACCACTAGTATCCCCACGAGCTGAAAGGCTACCCTCACAATTTTAACCATAAAATTCACTTAGACTAGCAATCCAATGATCCCCGTCAACATCAACACCACCACCACCACCATCACCATCACCATCACTATCATTACCACTACCACCACCATTATTGCTTTCAGTCGACACAAGACTAGAATCAGAGCGTTGGTAATCAAGTGAATCAGAGGTATGTATTCATTATCATCATCTTCACCAAAAGAATTTTTCCAAGAACGGGTTTCCTTATCCAAGGGCATCAATGGTTCTTCCCTTTCTTCTAACCATGGATTCAGGGGATTGTCCTTATGAAATAAGTAATCCAAATTGATAGGATTAAAGTTATTCCTAATCTCTTGCTGGTTCTTTCGCACAGTATGCCTAATTTTCAATTTCATGTTATAGTGAATGAAAACAAGTATTTGGAGTTTAACATATTTCAACTTGTTTCTTGTCTTGGTGTGAATAAGCCTACCTATGCTCCAATTACGCTCACAACTAGAAGTTGAAGTAGTCTGACTTAGTACCTTAACTACTATACTTTAAAGCTCAGGAGCTCATGAGCACATGAGCCATAAAGAATCCACTATCTAGTTGCATAAAATAAATTTTGATGAATTCACAAATGAATAAATATACATTGACTACATATTATAAATTGTAACTAAGCTTACCAAGATTTATTTTGTTAACTGCTACTTGCGCAATATTTGATCCAAATGTTTCTGTTTTATCTTGAAATAGAAATATCTAAACACATTATAATTGTGAAGGAACGCGTATTAGATAACATGTCATTCAAATAATAAATAGAATTGTAAGTAAACAAGTACTGCATACCTGATTTATTGTCTTAATCTGACATTCAATGTTCGGCTCCAATCTTTGTATTACTTTCTGCGTTCCGTCCATTGTTTCTCTGAACGTCTCCCTAGAGCTGGTAGTAGTCTACTGGAATTGTGGATTCAAGAAGTAACCTCTCATATATAAATATTAATTTTTAGTGCATTATGTTTACTTATTTATCGACACACATAACATGTGAATTTCATACAAGTAATAAAAGACATAACTTTGTAGTTCATACTTACCAGCATCATGCAAATTATGATGTAACTGAACAGAATATCGACGATAAATAATCTTCTAATAGTCAACCCAATATCGAGAATCTCTTTTAATAGCCAACTTTGCTCGATCTATTGCTTCATATATAAAACCCATTGTAGGTTTCTCATCTCCATCTACTAACCTTAACACCCTAAGCAATGGTTCTGGAACATTCAAAGCCTCATTACCTCTCTTCCAAAAGTCATTGCCCATAATCAAAATTTTCACATCACTAGGAGGACCAGTTTTAATCTTCTCAAATCTAGTCTCCTTATCTTCATCATAAATGAACAGAGCCTTAAGATTATCTTTCTGCCTAATAATGCTTTCAAGTGCAATGAAATTTGTGGCAAATCTAATAATTAAATGACGTAACAATTCTTTATCATTTGTAAATTTTTTCATCAAATGGTATTCCCTTGGATATTTATAAATGAAGCTTGTGATACACTTTGCATCATCTAGGACCTTTGTAACAGATTTTTTTTTTTGAAATGTGCTGCACACGTTGTCCAATACAAATATAGTCTTTTCTCCATTAACTTCTTTCCAGTAGCCTAAAGGACTGCTTCATTGTTAGTCACTATCTGGACAACATATTCTTATCCAATCTCTTCAACAATCATATCTAACAAACAAAAATAATAATCTGAAGTCCTACTTGCCACATTAGATGCATCAACAGACTTATGAAAAATTGTACCTATATTACAATATATCAAGAAGTTGATGATGTGATCTCATGTTTGACCAGTCCATCCATCACACATGATAGTAACTCCCATATCTTTCCATGTAGGCCAGAAAGACTTAATCTACTCCTTCATTGCATTGACTTCTTTATTCAAATGTATCTCAAACACCTCACAACAATTAAGATCTTAATTCCTTTTCCTACTTAAGCAGCAATGTCAAGCATTGGTTGAGTCTAGAGAGAGTCTACTACATGAAAAGCAAATGGTTATATAACATGAATTTGAAAAACATATCTCCTAACATTTTCCTTCTAATCTTTTGGTGATTTGAATTTGTCTTTGGCTGCTTAGAATTTTTGTTTCTCAAAAGATCAAGATCCATCTCCCTTAATCTAGCTTCAGGAGTATCATAATTAATCCAATGTCAACCACTACCATCAACATCTTGCTCACGAACTGAATGAGATCGTCTTAACTTACCTACATCTCTACCTCTAAAACTACCCACACCTCCGAAACTATATCTCATGTTATACTGTGGCACATGTACACTTCTATGTCTGTGACTTTTTTCAAATTGATATTGTGCCACACTTTATGTTCTCGCGAACGCCATCTCAAGATCGTAATCTGAATCATCACCCAAGTCCACATACCTAGGATCCCCAATCACGATCTCTTTCAAATGAAATTCTAGTTTTTCCCTCCTCTTTTGTTTATCTTTTTTCTCATCTTTACTTTCTTGAAGATGTTTCATCATCTGTTTCCTGACTTCTCGTGGCACTTCTGGGCACAGTGTTACATTGCCTCTTACTCCTACCAATTGTTCTTTCACTCGTGTAATACCACCTTTATTCATTTTTTTACAAAACATACATACTACATCATGTCTATTAGTAGTCATTGTTGTAAAGTTCCAATCGATATTATCACTAGAATTGCTTTGTGAACCTTCTTTTGGGCTGTGTCGATGCATTTTCAATTCTATCACACACAAAAAAAAGTATATTTAATGTAGGAATAATAAATCAATATATTAAATGGATTAAAAGATTAATTTATAGTTATTTATTATACCACATGTATGTTCTATCTACTCTAAATAAAATTAGTGAATGGTAAAACACACAGTGACACACAATCTTTATTTAAAATAATTAATGAATTATGGACCCACAAAACATTCATTAAAATGATTAGTGCCTACTCTAAAATTAGTTAATTATGATTAGGGGTGTCAACTCTGATCCGTGGATACGAACCCGACGCAAGCGATTATAAAATTGACGCAATTATTAGATACGCATAATAAATAGCCTAGAATAATGTTTAATACTCATAACACAATAAATAAATATATTTTTTTCATGGGTCTGAACACGAACACGACACAATTGACACCCTTAATTGTGATACTCATGTAAACTCCATTAAAATAATTAATAAACACTATTAAAATTATTTAATTAAACACATATTTTATTTGACCCAAAACATATCTCAAACACACCATTATAATATATAAAGAGACATGACTACATCCTTAAAAAGTAATAAAAAAAATGCGGTGGCTAGAGTGGAGTGACAAGTAGACAACACTACTGTTCTTACATTCTTAAAAACAAAAAAATAAAAAATAAAAAATAAAAAGAAGCAGGCGGTGGCTGGAGTCAGGGGTGTTAATCAAGCTGAATTTGAGCCTAAATCGAGCTGAATTTACACATAAACAAGCTGTCTCATTTGACTTTATACACATAAACAAGCTTTAAAAAATTTTCAAATTTGGCTTGTTTAACAGCCCTAGCTGGAGTTTATCCACTAGAAAAGATAGCAACTTGAATGGAGCGATGCAAAAGAGATCGACTCGTCTTCGATCGTCCGAAGCAAGCAGCGAGCACATCGAGTAGAGGAGAGCACAGATCTGATCACCAGTCAGACAGTCACAGTTCGAGTTCAAGTTTTTTGAGCAGAGGATAGCACAGTTTTGAAAACCACCTCAAGAAGCCAGATATGGATGTACAAATGCGTTTTTAGGCTTTTATTTGAAAGATTTTCTAGATCTAAACCATGTATTTGAGTGAAACAAGAAAGATGAGAGAAGTTGGTTGAATTTGAATTTCTGACAAAATCAATTTTTGGGTCTGAAATTTGGGTTTAATACTCGAATCAATTTTCGGGTTGTAACGGGTTAAAGCGACCGAGTTTGTCCATATCGTCTGTTACGTCCATTATGGAGCCGCAACGGCCATTACAACTGTGAAATTTATCCTTTCCATTATATCGGATCATAACGGAATTAGATCATTCTATGACTGTTACGTAACGCGTAACGGCCAATTTTCAAAACCCTGCTTCATATACATACAGTGTATATAAAGCTCCATAGATGACCTTTAGGGATGTGATGGTTCCATTCGTATTACTTTAAGATAAGGCAAAATTCACTTACTGCGTAAAAACCAAATTCGAACTTCAATCCATACATTTTATATGATTTTCAGCTTTTTCACAAGAAACATATACAGCAACTAGTCATTGGCTTAAATAGTTAAATATAGGGTTAATAGTAATTTTGGTTCCTAAAATATGTATTTTTTTGTCATTTTAGTCCTCATTATATCAATTTTGTCAATTTGGTATTTAAAGTATTCAATTCGTGTCATTTTGGTTCATAATCAAACAATCTGTCAAGTTTTTTGACATAAGTAACCACGTGTCATTTTTTTAGACAGTCTCACATGCCTGACACGTGATCATTCTATTAAAAACTTAATAGTTCATGTATGTAAGAATTAAATTGACACGAATTAAATATTTTAGAGATCAAATTGACAAAATTGATACAATAAGTACTAAACTAATAAAAAAATATGGACTTTAGAGACCAAAAAGATTATTAACTCTTATAACTAGGTCACATCCATATGCTTATTCATGAAAACCAAAAGTGCGGCCTCATTTTTTATATCCATGGACCACCCAATAGCAGAATTTTTCAGAGTTTGAGTTTCGCACACTATGTATGGTCCATGAAGTTTTAGGGTTGCCAGCACCGCATATTCATTCCCATTCATTGACCAATAAATCCTCAGCAACTGACCGATTTGAAGACGCAGTGCAAAAGCTCAGAGAACGCCTCTGATCTGCCCTTACTGAGGCTATCAATTCATATGTGATTCTGTCTCGGTCAGTTACACGAATGACCCCATTTCTGTCCAGCACATAATCTGCCCGACTTGGTATTTCCAAGTTGCCATGGACATCTCTATCCGAGGGAGATTTTTCAAAACACACATATTGGGGCTCCATTTCTCCAAACCTTGAAGGAAAAGAAGATGAATAAGCATTAATGTGGTCATTATGGGATAGAATATAAGAGAATGAGAGAAATGAACTTCATTTCTGTTCTGCTTAAGTATGAGAAAGGCTAGCTATACAGAATATACTAGTCCTAGTTAGGTCACTTAGGTAACAGAAACTACAAAAAATGGATACCCTCAAGAAAAGAAGAATCAATTTTAGGATTAAGGTCTGTTTCTTCGGGAAAGTGCTAGTTATAGTGGTACTAATACTACTATTACAACAACACTGAGAAACTTTTATAACAGAGAAACGAAAATTGTCGCTAGAATGGAGAGAAAGAGAGATGTCACACCTAGACATAGATTTTGAGAGATAAATAAGGAACATCTAAATTGAGATTAGTCTCTTGAAGAAGAGAATAGGAGGATCATGGATGTGCTATGTAATCAGTGAATACGCTACTTTGGATGAGAATTTTCCATTATTTGCATGACTCCAACATAGGGAATCATGGAAGGTATTTCGAAATGGAATAGTGGTATGCATGAGTTCATTTACATATCCTGGGGAAGCAGCATACCTGCTTCGTAGCTATAATCTGCTGTGTCTGGGACTTGGATTCTCTCTCGCAGTGGAGCCTCTCCTAGCACTAATCTGTCCAGAAAGAATTATTTTCTCCATTTCTAATAATCCACTTAGTCCCTCTAGTCATGATTTCTTTGGTCTTAAAGACTACTTTACAAGTGGGTGAAGCATTTGATTTCTCTTTCCAAAAGTAGTGTGTCTTATTAGCATTCCTATCTTTGATAACCTTAACCCATAGTGAATTTTGGCCACTAGAGATTTTCTAGCTTAGTTTTGACAGTAGTGCCAATTTATTATCTTGCTATTCTTGAGCCCAAGTCCACCATACCTCTTCGGAGAACATATAGTATCCCAATTCATAAGGTAAACTTTCCTCCTCTCCTCATAATCTCCCAAAGGAAGTTTCTATTCAACCTATAAATTTGGTCCCAAGTAGACTGAGAGATCCAGTTAGTTTGCATGAAAATAATTATGTAGGGTTGAACTAACAAGTTGGACAAGGGTGGCTCTCCCTAATAGAGTTATATACTAAAAACTTACTTTTTGTAGTAAAACTCGTTTTATTGATTAATAGGATTTTGTTCTTTCCATTTTATAGAGAAACTATGTGGGCAAAATGTTTGCATTATATTTGATATATGGTATGCACTTGTATCTCATATTTTACATTATAGATAATCTAGTATGTAGAGTTCAAATTATGCATAAAAGACCAGATTGATGTATCGGGTTATTGCATAATATGAATATAAGTTCACAATTTCTAGATGGAATTGGACACATCATTAGTATGATTGTAGTGTAATATTTTGGCATAGTATGTCTTGACTATAGGAGACTGTTTTATGTCTGAGATTATTGCACTAGTACACTTTGTATATTGAATAAACTCATGTTGAAGTTATTATCTTTTATTGATTAAATAAGATGATAAATACCTCATAATTATTATGATTGTTTATACTTTTAATCCCGACATATTTAATCGTTATATGCATTTAATGATTGTCACTTTAATTCATCAAAGAGTGAGATTCATATTGAGTCAATAAGTTCGGTGAATTGCGAGATGACATTATTTGTATGATGAAAATTAATTATTAAAGAAAATCATGTTCTAGTATTTAAATTGGTAGATAATGTCCTTTTGAGGAAGCTCAAAAGTTTTGTTTATGTCAAACTCTGCAAGTAGATTTAATTATCCGACATGATAAATAAGTTGAGTGGTAATGTCTCAAAGAATAAAAGAAATCAATTAAATATAATTATCAGTGATTTATTTAATTGATGGACATTTATAATCTTAAACATGGAGAGATTATTAAGCATGTATAAGGAGCTTGAAACGTAATTTTGAGATAAGATTCAAGAAATCAATAATAAGTTTTTAGTGGACTAATTTATTATTAATGGACTGCATGATGTTTATTTTGGGTTTAACATAGTAATCCTAGGTCCATTCGAAGCCTGACCCTTGTTTCTCCTTAGGGTTTTTGTCGAAGCCTATGATATCTAGGCTCTCTAAATCTGGATTACCTTAATTACTCACGTTTTGAGGGAGGCTAAGAAAGAAACCAGAAATTTTGGAGTATTTATAACCCACACTGCATCCGAATTTTGGCATTTGGGGATATATGATAGAAGATCGTGAGGTTCATCGAGTTGTTTATTGTGTCTGTCTTTTAAATTATGCATTCATGTTGAGACAAGATCAATCTAGAGTGACCTCAACGATAAACCTTAGTTCCGCTTTGTAGAGTTTTAAATAGAATTTTTTTTGTATTTGATACATACGCACTGTCAATGATTCTTGAGACTTCTGTTCCAACACTCTCAGCTATGGAAGGGTCTTAGATTTCCAATCACTTGACTTACTTTGTATTCTTTCCAAAATATATTTAAAGTTGTGTTTGTTAGACCTGCTATGTAGGATTGGGACTCCCAAATATTTACCAAGATCATTAGTGAGTGTAAGTCCACACTTCCAATTCAGTCTTCTAGTAAGGCTTTTCCTAAAATTTGTGAAGGAAAAAAACTTTTGATTTCCTGATATCTTTTTTGCCTGAGAAATTACAAAAATTTTCTAAGGCATCTTTGATCATATCACAATCAAGATCAGTAGCTCTAGAAAATAAAACAATGTCATCAGCGAATAAAAGATGGGAAATTGTAGGACCATTCCTTGAAGACTTAATTCCTTTCCAGACTCCTTGGCTAACTTTTTCAAGGATCATTTGACCTTGCTTCTCCATACAAAAGGCAAAAAGATATGGTGAAAGGGGTCCTGTCTTAGTCATCTCCTAGGGATAATTGGACCCATTGGTGATCCATTCCACAAGATAGAAAGAGATGATACAGTCACAGAGCTCATAATAATATCAATCCAAGATTGAGGAAAATTAAAATCAATAAGGGTTTGGTGGAGAAAAGGCCAACTAATCATGTCATAGGCTTTTCCAGATCAATTTTAATAACCATATCCCCAATCCTACCTTTTTCCCTTTTTAAAGTATGAATAATCTTTTGTGTAATGATCACATTATCTATGGTTTGCCTTCATGGGATAAAGCTACTTTGATAAGGACTCACTAACTTATCCAAGAAAGGTCTTAGTTTGGCTACTAGCAATTTTGTGAGGACCTTATAGTTGACATTGCACAAGCTTATGGGCCTGAATTCAATAACCTTGGTTGGGTTATCAATCTTAGGAATTAAAGTGATCCAGGTTTTATTAAGTTCACCTAAACAGTGCTTTGACATGAACATATCTTTTATTTAACTGCAAAGGGAGTGACCAACTAAATCCCACTGTTTATGGAAGAAAATAGCTTGAAAGCCATTCGGTCTTGGGGCTATGAGTACTTTTAGACTTAAAGTTGCAAGTTTAATTTCCCTATCTGTTACGGGTTTATCTAGATAAAGTTTTTCATTGGAAAAAAGTTTTGTCTGGTGTCTTATTGATTTGTTCTATGATATACAAGAATTTCACTGCCAAATAAATTGCTGAAAAATTCTTGGATTGTTTGGGCAATCTCATGATATGTAAGTCATCTACCTTGTGAGTTTTTTAAAGTTTGAAATCGATTTCCCTTCCTTCTCACTATGGTGGAAATTGGAA